GGGCTGTCCAAACTGGGTCCTGGAGGGCCGGTGTCCTGCAGAGTTTAGCCCCGACTTGCCTCAACACACCTGACTGGAAGTTTCTATGCCTAGTAAGAGCTTGATTAGCTGCTTCAGGTGTGTTTAATTAGTGTTGGAGCTAAACTCTGCGGGACACCGGCCCTCCAGGACCGAGTTTGGACAGCCCTGTGCTAAATGAACAAACAAAAATAATCACGGGCATGATTATAAAAGGCAAAAAGGTCTTCAAAAAGTATTATCACACTTATAATCTTTAGAAATGAGTGAGAAATATAAAAAACAAAACATTTTTATTTTTATTTCTCCCACCAGATGACACCAAACTGCTTTCAATACACTGGATTTTAAATACCTTTGCTAGATTTTTGCTTAAAAACGGTATTATTATTATTATTTTTAAATATTTGGATTATTTTATATAGAAATAAATGGTGTATAATTTAAAAGTATTGTCTAGGACCATGAAATATTTAATACAAAATATTTAAGAACATTTTATTGAAAAAAAATATATATAGAAAACGTTAATTTCATAAAAAAAAGTGTTAAAATAAAGCAAAACATGGATGGATAAAAACAAGCAAATTTACACACAGAAGAGCAAGATTTTACCCGAGTTTGAGCATGTTGATCATGTCGAAGTTGACAACATCAAAAACTTTCATGGCCTGATCATCACCCACAGAGCAGAAAAGCGCTCCCTCCGCACTGACGGAGATACACTCGACCACTCCTACACGCCAGAGACAACAGACAAATTAGTCACAAATACTACTTTTATACATCTTGCCTACACAATGCTAGGGCTGCTGTAAAGTTCTGAAAAGTGGTTGCTATGGTGTTCTAAATGGTTGGCGAAGCGCTTGCTAGGATGTTGCTCACCAGATGTAGGAACAGAAAACCTACCCAAATGGCTGCGGAAGTGCTTGACAAACTCCACTCCTTCATCCTCCTTCTTCTTCCAGAATTTCACGTGCCCATCCTGACTCGCTGTTATGGTAAAATCAGTTCTGGGATGGTAAAAAAGTCAATTAAATGCACTTGTGTTAAGGTTGCAAAATTGATTAATCGCTTCCAAAATAAAAGTTTGTGTTTATGTGTCTACCGTGTACATTTATATTTTTTATTTATTTATGCAACATATTCTGTTACACCAAATACACAAAACAATGATCTTTAAAATAGCATCATATGACCCCTTTAAACATTTCGGAAACATCAGTTAAGGAGCATTGACCATCATTTCAGTGGGGTAGCAACAGTAAGAACTTAACCATTTGTTGTCGAAGTCTGCTGCATTGATGACCGGTGTCCACGCTGACGGGTCTTTAAGGAGTGAGCATTCACGGGCAGTGGATCGATTTCTGATGGTCAAATGAGGTTTGTTTATGGATAGCTACGGCCAGGGCTGGACTGGGACAAAAAAAATCGGCCCAGGTATTTTTTGGTCCAGGCAGCCCACCACCGTTTATATATATATATATATGATAGGCCTATACACTACCAGTCAAAAGTTTTTGAACAGTAAGATTTGTAATGTTTTATAAAGAAGTCTCTTCTGCTCACCAAGCCTGCATTTATTTGATCCAAAATACAGCAAAAGCAGTAATATTGTGAAATATTTTTTACTATTTAAAATAACTGTTTTCTATTTGAATATATTTAAAAATGTAATTTATTCCTGTGATTTCAAAGCTGAATTTTTTGCATCATTACTCCAGTCACATGATCCTTCGGAAATCATTCAAATATTCTGATTTGCTGCAAAAAAAAAAAATGTATTATTTGTATTATGTTGAAAACAGCTGAGTAGAATTGTTCAGATGATGAATAGAACAGCATTTATCTGAAATGGAAATCTTGTGTAACATTATGAATGTCTTTATCATCACTTTTGATCAATTTAAAGCATCCTTGCTAAATAAAAGTATTAATTTCTATAATTTATTTCCCCAAAAAAGAAAAAAAAATCTACTGACTCCAAGCTTTTGAATTGTAAAGTGTATAATGTTACAAAACCTTTTTATTTCAGATAAATGCTGATATTTGGATCTTTCTATTCATCAAAGAATCCCGAAAAAATGTACTCAACTGTTTTAAATTTTGATAATAATAATAAAAATAATAATAAATGTTTCTTGAACAACAAATCAGCATATTAGAATGATTTCTGAAGGATCATGTGACACTGAAGACTGGAGTAATGATGCTGGAAATTCAGCTTTGATCACAGGAATAAATTACATTTTAATATATATTTAAATAGAAAGCAGTTGTTTTATATAGTAAAAAAAAAAAATCACAATATTACTGCTTTTGCTGAATTTTGGATCAAATAAATGCAGGTTTGGTGTGAAAAGACTTCTTTAAAAAAACATTTTAAAAAATACTACTGTTCAAAAACGTTTTACTGGTAGTCAGGGCTGGATTGGTAACTGGGCATACCGGGCATTTTCCCGGTGGGCCGACGCACTTAAGGGGCCGACAGAAGGTTTTTTATTATTATTTTTTTTACCAAGGACCATCACGCAGGGAGAGCGAGCAGCCAGTGGCCCATTGGATTGTCTCCTGTATAGACAGCGTAAACCATCCAATCACAATGCACTATAGACGGAACGATGAAGTATTTTGCTCCACCTATATAAAGATCGTTTCACTCCAACTTCTTCCTCGTCGGCTTTTCCCACGTTTTCACAGCAGATTTATCAAGAACAGGCTTGCTCTTCGGTGAGTGATGCTGGCCAAAGAGCCAGGCAGGAGGAGGAGAGGAGAGTAGTTGAATCTGTAAAGTGCTTGATAGGGGCTCGCAACGGAGGCAGACATCTAACCTCTCCTAATATGTGTGCGCGCCATGAGTGTAGAATACGTAAACACTTTTTAATAAAATGTAAATTCGTCCCCTGTGCTTTTTTGGTCAAGTCAAGTGTGTTCATAGAGGTTTCCATGGGTCAATGCGAATAAATCTAGATTTAAATAAAAAAAAGACACAATATTGTCGGACCTGACGATTTATTCTTATCCAAAACAACTAGATGTGATATGAGTGTGATACATACATACACTACCAGCAGGTTTGGACTGGGACAAAAAAATCGGCCCAGGCATTTTTTGGTCCAAGCGGCCCTCCACCATTTATTATATGTGACCCTGGACCACAAAACCTTCTCAAGTCACTTGGGTATATTTTGTATGGGTCAAAATTATCGATTTTTATTTATGCCAAAAATCATTAGGATATTAAGTAAAGATCATGTTCCATGAAGATATTTTGCAAATTTCCTTCTGTAAATATATCAAAACTTAATTTTTGATCAGCAATATGCATTGCTAAGAACTTAATTTGGACAAATTTAAAGGCGATTTTCTGAATATTTTGATTTTTTTGCACCCTCAGATTCCAGATTTTCAAATAGTTGTATCTCGGCCAAATATTGTCCTATCCTAACAAACCATACATCAATGGAAAGCTTATTTATTCAGCTTTGTGTATAAATTCAGATGGTGTATAAATATCAATTTCAAAGAATTGATTGATTGGTTGGTTTTGTGGTCCAGGGTCACATATGATATACACTACCAGTCAAAAGTTTTTGAACAGTCAAATTTGTAATGCTTTTTAAAGAAGTCACTTCTGCTCATTTATTTGATCCAAAATACAGCAAAATTGAAATATGTTTACTATTTAAAATAACTGTTTTCTATTTGAATATATTTAAAAATGTAATTTATTCCTGTGATTTCAAAGCTGAATTTTTTTAGCAGTCATTACTCCAGTCTTCAGTGCCACATGATCCTTTAGAACATTTATTATTGAAAGTGGTTTTACTGCATTTTTTATTATTTATTTATTTTTGATTGATTGATTTATTTTTCAGGATGTCTTTCATGAATAGAAAGTTTGAAAGAACAGCATTTATATGATATATAATATTAAATTATATATCATATAAACAATATATATATATATATATATATATATATATATATATATTCTTTTTATTATGTTGAAAATATTAACACAAAAACATTTTCAGGTTTCTTTGATGATAAATTATCATCACTTTTGATCAATTTAAAGCATCCTTGCTAAATAAAAATATTAATTACTATAATTTATTTCCCAAAAATAAAAATCTACAGACTCCAAGCTTTTGAATTGTATAGTGTATAATGTTACAAAAGCTTTTTATTTCAGATAAATGCTGATCTTTGGATCTTTCTATTCATCAAAGAATCCCGAAACAATGTACTCAACTGTTTTAATTTTGATAATAATAATAATAATAACAACAATAAATGTTTCTTGAACAGCAAATCAGCATATTAGAATAATTTCTGAAGGATCATGTGACACTGAAGACTGGAGCAATGATGCTGGAAATTCAGCTTTGATCACAGAAATAAATTAATTTTTTCATATATATTTAAATAGAAAGCAGTTTAAAATGATACATTTTCTCAGTTTAAACATTTGATATGTCATCTATGTTGTATTCTGAATAAAATTGAAATTTGAAACGTCCACATCATTGCATTCTGTTTTTATTCACAATTTGTACAGTGTCCCAACTTTTTTGGAATCGGGTTTGTAGTAAAAGCATTTTACAATATTACTGCCTTTGCTGTATTTTGGATCAAATAAATGCAGGCTTGGTGAGAAGCGACTTTAAAAAAACATTACAAATATTACTGTTCAAAAACTTTTGACTGGTAGTATGTGGATATCACATCTAGTTGTTTTGGATAAGAATAAAACGTCATGACAATATCGTGTCTTTTTTAATCTAAATCTAGATTTATTCGCATTTGCCCATGGAAACCTCTATGAACACACTTGACTTGATTTGACCAAAAAAGCGCAGGGGGCGAATTAGTTTTATTAAAGCGTTTACGTCTGTTTTTATACAGTCTATGGTTTACGTATTCTACACTCATGGCGCGCACACATATTAGGATAGGTTAGATGTCTGCCTCCGTTGCGAGCCCCTATCAAGCATTTTACAGATTCAACTACTCTCCTCTTCTCCTCCTGCCTGGCTCTTTGGCCAGCATCACTCACCGAAGAGCAAGCCTGTTCTTGATAAATCTGCTGTGAAAACATGGGAAAAGCCGACAAGGAAGAAGTTGGAGTGAAGCGATCTTTATATAGGCGGAGCAAAGTACTTCATCGCATTGTGATTGGATGGTTTACGCTGTCAATATAGGAGACAAACCAATGGGACACTGGATGCTCGCTGTCCCTGCGTGAAGGTCCTTGGCAAAAAAAAACATTCTGTCAGGCCACCGGGAATATGCCTGTTATGCCCGATTACCAATCCAGCCCTGGTTGTGAGACGACGTCCAGTAGGTGACGACTTTTACACGTGCATTTATAGTCAATCATGACCCTCTATGAAATCCTTATGAAATATGCAAAAGCAATTGTGCTTACACCTTGGTTAAAACTGCAAAAATTAATTTAAGTGCCCCAGGTAGTTTTTAGGAGGTTGTGAATAGACGTACACTGATGTCCTTTACACTAGTCATCTAGTCAAGCACCCATACAAAAAAAAAAGGACGGACTTCTTGTTTATTGTCAAATTATATTCACAAAGTGCCCTGTCTGGTTAAGTAGTTTCGCTTTCACAACAAAACACACAGCGTCACACACAGCAGGCTAGAGTGAGTGGCAACCTAGAGTGAGGAACGGCCGGCGGGCTAGAGTGAGCGGCGGCCAGCGGATTCGACGAAGGGCTTGCGGCAACCACATGTGACGACCCGGGCTGGACTCTGCTTCGTCCACGGTGAAAGCTGATCCAGCGAGCCACAGCGCGAAGTTGATGTATTTCCTCAGCGACCAGCACGGATCAGCTCCAGGCATGACGAAGCGGATATAGTCCTCTTTTGGAAGGCCAAACAAAGTAGTTTCGCTTTCATAACAAAACACACATGTCTCCACGACATGGCGGCGGCGGCAACAACAATACTACAGCGAGAATAAAAAGTTATGCAAACCTTCCCACATCGTGACATAGATATGTGGGGGTGTGTTAGAACGAGCCGTTTTAGGTAGGCGTGGTTGACTCTTAACTTTTATAAACAATATCTCTTTGGATTTGAGACTTTAGTCTTTGCAACGTTACAGATTTTCTTTATGCACCAAGAGCTTGTAACACTCCAAAGAGAAAGGAAAAATTTAAATCGCATCATATGACCCCTTTAGATATTTGTATTTGAAATAAGACAGAAATACTCAGTAAGAAAAGCATTTTTGCAGCGTGAATGAATGAATGAGATATTTAAACATTGCTTACACTTTAAAAAGGGGGAGACCATAAGAAACTCTGGGTTTACCGAAGAAAACCTGCTGCCGACCAGGTTAGGGTCATAGAGTAAGTTACCTCTCTTTCAGAAATGGCTTGACTTACCCTGCTTTCTCGGGTTTGATAAACCTCCCATTCTGAAACGGAAAACCCAAAGTTTCCCTCATTTCAGGGTTAACATACTCAGAGCTTTCACTTAACCTCCTTTCTGAAACGGCCCCTGACCACTGCAGATTCATTTTGCAGTTCATAGTGTCGCCATAGAAACGCACAATCCTCTCGTAATTAGGCTACCTTAATTATTATGACATGGTGTGAAGTTCATCCAACCCCAATCAAACACACCTGAACAAGCTAATCAAGGCCTTCCAGTCAGAGTACTAGAAAGCTACAGGCAGGTGAGTTTGATCAGGGTTGGAGTTGACCTGATCTCCTTGAATCTTTAAAACCCCATTTTACAGAGGTTGATATTGCAGCAACACGTTTATTTGTTTCAGTTTTGTGTGCTTCTCCTGACGCACAAATTCAGCGCATTTTCCAGCGGAGGTCATTGTGAGATCGCAGGACTGGAGGATGACAGCTCGAGTGTATTGCTTGTTGATTGCTGTTTTTTCGTGTCTGTTCGGATACTTGAGCATAACAGATGCTACTCGAACCACATGTGAGAAGATCTGTTGACTTCATTACACAGTCTGCAGAAATAAGTGACTCTCAGTCTTTGAAAGTAATTAACACAGTTTAGGAATGAGTAGTAGGTTTTAAAATCCTTTTAATTTGAAGCAGATAAATATGTAAAATTAGTGTTAAGGTTTGAGACCCATTGCAAAAACCCCTGATTTGCGAATGCTGAAATGGCACTCCCTGGCCTCCCCTAATGATCCTCTTGAATCCTCTAGTGAAAAGTTACTGTCCGGGGATGCTGACGGTCATGCCGTCCCGTCGAGGGTGTTCTTCTGATAGAAACTGCTCTGGAGGACACGCATGCTGTCAATTTGACTGTGGGCCTGTTTGCGTTCTGCCTGTTTCCAGTGAGTTTCAGTTAATAATGGATGATGGGGGTCCTCCAAAAAGTTTTAAGCAGAGACTGAAAAGTTATGTAACGCTTCTAACTTAAGTGAATGGAAATGTTCCGCATTCGGTGATTCTGTCTGTATAACAGCAAAGCCAGTAGAGTGTCCACCCCAATCATCTGGAAGATTGTGTACCAGGTCCTGTAGGAGTGACTCTAACTGTCACAACAACAAGAAGTGCTGCAGCAATGGATGTGGACGTTACTGTACTGCTCCATATCCAGGTATTTGTGTTATATTGTTTTTGTCAGTGTTTGTTGATAAATTGTCTTTTGTTGTTCTCGTCTAAAGTAGGTTTGAATTAATCCCTTAGGATAGTTTTAAACGCAGGATTGCTTTACAAAAAGAGGAATGATACTTTTGGTAAAAATTGCTATTCATGCTTTGAGTTTTGTTCCGTATATTGGTGTGTGTACGTGTACGTGCATGTGCATAGACTAAAGCTGACTATCCGTGTCCATACAGTGAAGCCGGGTCAGTGTCCTGACCCAAAGAACATTCCACTGTGTGCTGAAAGCTGTTTCCATGATGGCCAGTGTCCTGCCACACAGAAATGTTGCCCAACCACAAGAGGCCATGCATGTAGTAAACCACATGGTCAGGCAACCGGTCAGGGGAGAGGTAATGGGAGAGGTCAGGCAACCGTTCAGGGAAGAGGTAATGGGAGAGTTCAGGGAAGAGGTAATGGGAGAGGTCAGGCAACCGTTCAGGGGCGAGGTAATGGGAGAGTTCAGGGAAGAAGTAATGGGAGAGGTCAGGCAACCGTTCAGGGAAGAGGTAATGGGAGAGGTCAGGCAACCGTTCAGGGAAGAGGTAATGGGAGAGGTAATGGGAGAGGTAATGGGAGAGGTAATGGGAGAGGGAGAGAAATGTTGCCCAACGGCAAGAGGTCAGGGAAGAGGTAATGGGAGAGGTCAGGCAACCGGTCAGGGGAGAGGTAATGGGAGAGGTCAGGCAGTCGGTCAGGGAAGAGTTGAGATTCAGGGAAGAGGCCAGGGAAGAGGTCATGGTGAGGGTAGCAGTCAGGGAAGAGGTCAGGCAACCGGTAATGGGAGAGGTCAGGCAACCGGTCAGGGAAGAGTTGAGATTCAGGGAAGAGGTCATGGTGAGGGTAGCAGTCAGGGAATCGGTCAGGCAACCGGTAATGGGAGAGGTCAGGCAACCGGTCAGGGAAGAGTTGAGATTCAGGGAAGAGGTCATGGTGAGGGTAGCAGTCAGGGAATCGGTCAGGCAACCGGTAATGGGAGAGGTCAGGCAACCGGTCAGGGAAGAGTTGAGATTCAGGGAAGAGGTCATGGAAGCGGTCACGGTCAGGGAAGCAGTTATGGTCATGGTGAGGGAAGCGGATCTGGAAGTGGTCAGGCAAGCGGTCATGGTCAGGGAAGCGGTCATGGTGAGGGAAGCGGTCAGGCAAGCGGATATGGTCAGGGAAGCGGTCATGGTGAGGCAAGCGGATATGGAAGCGATCAGGCAAGCGGTCATGGTGAGGGAAGCGGATATGGAAGCGGTCAGGCAAGTGCTCCTGGTCAGGCAAGTGCTCCTGGTCAGGCAAGTGCTCCTGGTCAGGCAAGTGCTCCTGGTCAGGCAAGCGCTCCTGGTGAGGGTCAGGCAAGCGGTCAGGCAAGCGCCCCTGGTGAGGGTCAGGCAAGCGCCCCTGGTGAGGGTCAGGCAAGCGGCCCTGGTGAGGGTCCGGCAAGCGCCCCTGGAGAGGGTCAGGCAAGCGCTCCTGGTGAGGGTGAGGCAAGCGCTCCTGGTGAGGGGGAGGGAAGCGCTCCTGGTGAGGGGGAGGGAAGCGCTCCTGGTGAGGGGGAGGGAAGCGCTCCTGGTGAGGGGGAGGGAAGCGCTCCTGGTGAGGGGGAGGGAAGCGCTCCTGGTGAGGGGGAGGGAAGCGCTCCTGGTGAGGGGGAGGGAAGCGCTCCTGGTGAGGGGGAGGGAAGCGCTCCTGGTGAGGGGGAGGGAAGCGCTCCTGGTGAGGGGGAGGGAAGCGCTCCTGGTGAGGGGGAGGGAAGCGCTCCTGGTGAGGGGGAGGGAAGCGCTCCTGGTGAGGGGGAGGGAAGCGCTCCTGGTGAGGGGGAGGGAAGCGCTCCTGGTGAGGGGGAGGGAAGCGCTCCTGGTGAGGGGGAGGGAAGCGCTCCTGGTGAGGGGGAGGGAAGCGCTCCTGGTGAGGGGGAGGGAAGCGCTCCTGGTGAGGGGGAGGGAAGCGCTCCTGGTGAGGGGGAGGGAAGCGCTCCTGGTGAGGGGGAGGGAAGCGCTCCTGGTGAGGGGGAGGGAAGCGCTCCTGGTGAGGGGGAGGGAAGCGCTCCTGGTGAGGGGGAGGGAAGCGCTCCTGGTGAGGGGGAGGGAAGCGCTCCTGGTGAGGGTGAGGGAAGCGCTCCTGGTGAGGGTGAGGGAAGCGGTGAGGCAAGCGGTCATGGTGAGGGTCAGGGTAGCGGTGAGGCAAGCGGTCATGGTGAGGGTCAGGGTAGCGCTCCTGGTGAGGCAAGCGGTAATGGTCAGTGAAGCGATCAAGGTCAGGGATGTGGTCACTGAAACGGTCATGGGACTTTTGCATAACACCTACCGGAGTTTTTTTTTTTTTTTTTTCCAGTTCAGTGTTTTATTCATATGGCATGTTTTCCCTGTTTGCTCAAACCGTTTAGAAAAATTTCTCTCCCACCCTTCCCTCAAATAAAAAGAAAATTGCTTGATTTTGAAGAGTTGGTGTTTTTAGCATCATCGTTTTCTCGCATAACCACTTTCTGGCATCAGTACTTTGTGTAAGCCCTGAGACCTGGGCTGTGTTTCCCGAAACCTTCTTAACGCTATGTCGTTCATAAAATATACCTTAAGTCACGTGTCAAACTCGAGGCCCGCGGGCCTATTCCGGACCGCCACATTTTATGTGGCCCGTGAGAGATTATAATCTATGCAGTTTTATATCATAAATTATGAATGTGCGTATAAATACCACGTTTGTTTCTATTTGGCATTCTATTTAGAAGCATAAATTGTCTTTGGTGTGCATATGATACGCAAAGGTTAAGATTAGTGGTGTGGGGTTTTTCCGTTGATGACTGCGTGGATGGCTCAAAGGAATAAGTGCGGACCTCAGTGCCAAAGCCCCACCGACGGAAATGGGGGGAAAAAAAAACAATTCTCCTTTTTATATATTGATTGCAGCTTTCAGACATGACTGACTTATCGTTTTAATAGTTCGTCAGCACATATTGCTTATGTGAGAGCTCATCAAATGTGCGAGCGCAAATCTCTCTGCTTGCAGGTGGATTCCCATTCACTCTCTCAGAAACGCTTTCTATCGATCAGACATATGCGTGTGCTCAAAAAAAAAAAAAACATTCTCTCCCGAGATTAATAAACGCAACCTGCAGTGTGGGCATCCATTGGCAGAAACGTACATTGGCGCATATGCCAACTAATGTAAGTAAGTATAAGTATTTACATGGCATAACCTTAGTAGTCTAAATGTATCGGTTTTGCACGTGCCAACAGTACATGAAAATAAACAGTTTTTTTTTGTGCTCCGATCAACTGGCAAACTCCTGGAAAGTCTAAGGATCCAGTAAGCAAACGCATTGAAACAGTAAGTTCAAAACCGTGCTAATGCAGAGAAAACATTGCCGATTTCATCAGAGATGGCAGCGATAATAACTCGCGTACAGATGTCAGTAATAAAATAAAATCGGCAAGCAGTTTAGCTTAAAAGCACGAGTTTTATACTGGATGCTGGCTGAAGGTGTTTTACATTTATGCAGTAGTCCGTGGTTTAGTAAATCTGGATCAGTTAGCTCATTTGGTGGTCTTTTGGCGTCCCTCTGTGTTCCTGTTTGGTATTGCAGATTGACTTGTTTATTAAAAGTGATGTAAACTAAATGTAATGTACAAATGTTCATTTTCTGTGAAGCTGCTTCGCAACAGTGTATCAAAGTGCTACACAAATGTGAATTGAATTGCAAACAGTTATTAATGAATTTATTTACATTAATTGCAAATTATGAAAATTAAAAAGTACTTTTTTTTTAGTACTTTAGTTTGTATTTATTTATTTTTGAGTGGGGTTGAGTACCACCACTTGTTTTCTACTGCAAGCATTGATTGTGTAGACTATCATATGCACGCCAAACACGTGCGTATCATATCATTCAAGTCTGCTTTATTAACAATTCTTCCACATGTACAGCACATACATACAGATAATTTAAATTGCGTTACTCTCAGACCCTTGGTGCATACAGACAACACTAACAGTAGAACATAGATACAGATTAAATATAAATATTATGCTATACAAGTCAAGTCACCTTTATTTATATAGCGCTTTTAACAATACAGATTGTGTCAAAGCAACTGAACAGCATTAAGAAAATTGTGTCAATAATGCAAAATGACAATCGTAAACACTAATTTTTCAGTTAAAGACAGTTCATTTAATTCAGTGATGTCATCATCCAGCTCAGTTCAGTTTAAATGGTATCTTTGCAATCAAGTCAACGATATCGCTGGAAATGAAGTGTCCCCAACTAAGCAATACAAATAAGGTCATGTAAAAAATAAAGCAGCATATGGCAGATAGAGTGCAAACCAGTGAAGTAAACGCACAGTGCAGATATAATGACTGTAGTGCAAAGAGCTTATTCAGACTGATTAAAGTGACAAAAAGCTTTCTGGTCCCAGTGTGTTAGTGGGAGGGGGGAGTGGAAGGACGTGGGAGCTGGGGGAGGGGGTGTCTGGGGTCAGTGGTGCATGAGGCAAGAGAGGGGTCGGGAGGGAGTTCAGCTTCCTGACAGCCTGATGAATGAAGCTGTACTTCAGTCTGCTGGTCCTGGCCTGGAGACTCCGGAGTCTCCTCCTGATGGGATCACCTGCAATGCAGAGGGCTTTGAGGGTGAGACGGGTTCCATAAATATCCTGGAGGGAGGGGAGAGAGACACCAACGATCTTCTCAGCCGCTCTCACTATGCGTTGAAGTGACTTGCGGCAGGACGTGTTGCAGGCACCATACCACACAGTGATGCAGCTCGTCAGAATGTTCTCGATGGTGCCTCTGTAGAAGGTGGTGATGATGGGGGCCAGGGCTCTGGCACTTCTCCGTTTGCGGAGGAAGTAGAGACGCTGCTGGGCTTTCTTGGCCAGTGCTGCGGTGTTGTCAGTCCAGGAGAGATCCTCTGTGATGTGCACACCCAGGAACTTGGTGCTGCTCACTCTCTCCACAGTCGCACCATTGACGGTCAGAGGAGCATGCTGAGTGCGCACTCTCCTGAAATCAACAACAATCTCCTTCATCTTCTCCACATTCAGAGAGAGATTGTCTCTGCACCACACAGCCAGGCGGCTCACCTCGCTCCTGTAGTTTGTCTCATCTCTGTTGCTAATGAGACCCACTACAGTCGTGTCATCTGCAAACTTAATGAAGAGATTGGAGTTGTGTGACGGTGTGCAGTCGTGGGTCAGCAGAGTGAAGAGGAGGGGGCTCAGCACACATCCTTGGGGGCCCCAGTGTTCAGTGTGATGGTGCTGGATGTGTTACTGCCGACCCGTACTGCCTGAGGTCTCCCAGTCAGGAAGTCCAATAGCCAGTTGCACAGC